AACGAGCTCCATTGGAATTTTGTATTGGTGTTATCTGATTCAAAGACGTCATGTGACTCTCTGGATATATTCCATTTTCCATTCTAACTGGAACATGAAGTTGTGCCGATTTCTGGAGTATTCTGCAAAAGATGACCAAAGAAGCAACCTAGAGCTATTATTACTTCAGAAACGTATCACAAGGATGGGCCTCAGCAGGAAATCCTGGCACAGATTTCTGGAACTACTGTGAGTCACAGTACCTACAATGGAGGGAATCATGCTTTCCTTGCAGAACAACAAGGATATAATTAGCATGTAATTGGCAAAAATGAGCTTAAAACCTGTATCAAAGACTTCCGGCCAACACAAAACAGGAACAGTGAATTTAAGGCTAAGATATTGTAAAGAAAAAGACTTCATTGATTTTGTAAGAGTTGAAGGTATAAAGTTCCAAGATTTATATTGGAGAGGAACTACCACAGTGTTTGGGACATCTGCTTCCTAGTCAATGACTTCATTTATACAGTAGTCCAAATGAAGATATTGAGATGAATGCAATGGTTTCTTGAATAGTAAGTCAGAACGATTGGATATAGCCCTGGCTGGTATGGCTGAATGGATTGAGTGGTGGCCTGCGATTCCAAAGGTCACCAGTTTGATTACCAGTTGGGGCACATGCCTGGGTTGCTGGCCAGGTTCCCAGACTGGGGTGTGTGGGAGGCAACTGAAGGATGTTTCTCACCCTCTTTTCCCCTCTGTTCCCCTCTCTCTAAATTAAATACGCACGCTCCTAAGGATCACTACGAGAACTCTTGCGTTCACTCAGTATGAATGAGCAATTTTGTCAAGAAAATTTTCTCTTACAAGGATGAGTGAATATCATCAAAATTAATATGTAAAGTACCTAGATAAAAAAATCGAGAGCCCCACCCCATTTGTTTGTTTATTCATGTACCAAATGTTTGATTATCTTCTCTGTACTATTGTCTTGGCTTCATCTTTACTTGTTGCCTATAAATATATGTGCCCCTACATTTAGCTTCTCTGAGAGCCTTACTCGTCTCTATACTTCTTCTGGTAGTGCCTAGAAGGCTTTGTTATATAACAACAACAAAAAATTTTAAGCACGGAAGCAAAATTAAAAGACAGTAATGGATCAAAAAATTGTACAGGGAGCTAGAACTGATTTTTCCTGCTCTTTTTTTAAACTTATTTCCATTTTGGACCTTAGAAAAATGTTTTCTTCCTGAAATCTGTCATATTCTTAAATGTTCAAGGTAAATTACTTTTTCTTTGATGCTTGTGAAGCAAATCTGAGCTGCATAACTAGGTAAATTTCTGTTATACTATATCAAGTAACTTGTACATTTAGAATCAGCACATGATTGTTTTTATTTTTGGCCTTAATTCACTCCACTCTGACTTATCTCTCCTCTCCTACCTCTGTTCACGTGGTTCATAGAGTGACGCACTTCTTCAATGAGAAGTTCTTTACTTTTATAAAACAGAATCAACTCATTGTCTTGAGAAATAGTGATATGCTGTGTACACTTATATATCTGGCTGCCTCTTTAAAATATATACTTTGTTGTCCAACAGACCCCTCAAACTTCCATGACTAACTGAATTCTTGATTCTTTCTCTACATCCCTTTACCCTGTTCTTTCCATCTCAGAAATGGCAATGCCCTTATGTGCAAAACTTTGGGGTTCTCCTTGGCTCTTCCCTGTCTCTTAAACCCTTATCTAATCAAATGAAAAATCCTGCCAGCTACTCCTAGAAAATCTCTCCTGAATCTGACCAATTACCACCCCTATGGCTCCATGCTTGTCTCATTGAGCATCATCTCTTGCCTAAATTTTTGATACACTCCCCAAACAGGTCTTCCTGCTTCTGTCCTCCCTGCTGCAGTTCTTTTCAATAGAACAGCCAGAGAGATTCGGTTAAAACATAAGTCAAATCACATCAGTGCTCTCCTCAAAATCTTCCAAGTGTTCCCCATCTCAGGTGGTGTAAGAGTTGGAGCTCTTACATTGGCCTACAAGGTTCTCTATTGAACTTTGCTCTCTAACATCATCTCCTTCCCTCTTCCTCTGGTTCACTCTGCTCCCAGGCATAACGATCTTTCTAGAATCAAGGATTCTTCTGCTTCATGACATTTGTATTTACTGTTTCTTCTCCCCTCCTCTGCCCATCAGCAACCATTTGCATATCTCACCCCTTCATTTCATTCAGATTTCTTCTCATTTGTTCCCTTACTAGACGGACCTTCGGTGACCACGTTATCACACATTCCAGCACTTTCTCTCCATCTTGCCCCCCTATATTTTTCTTAACAATGCTTACCACCAATTTTGTTTACTGCCTGCCTCTTTACACGGGAACTTAAGCTCTTTGAGAGCAAGAAGAAATATTTATTGGGGGTTTGGTATGTGCCAGGTCCTTTACAAGGCCATAGGGAAATAAAAGTAAGCAAAAGAGACAGATGCCAATATCCATATGGCATTTCCATTCTAGTATTATACAAGTATTTTCTCAGTAAATATTTCATAAATGCATTGAATAAATATAGCATGAGCTCAGTAGAGTAACAGAAAGGGTTAAAAAGTAAAGGAGATTTAGATTAGCTGGTCATCCTTTATCTCATTGGAGAATCTATATCTAAAGAAATGGTTGGGCCCTGGCTGGTGTGGCTCAGAGGACTGAGTGCCGGCCTGCAAACAAAGGAGTCACCAATTCGACTCTTGGTAAAAGCCTATACCTAGGTTGCAGGCCAGGTCTCTGGTTGGGGGCCCGCGAGATGCAACCAACTGATGTATCTCTCACAGGTCAATGTTTCTGTCCCTTTCTTCTCCTCTCTCCAAAAATAAATAAATAAAATCTTCAATAAAAGATAAATCCTATCAATAATGTTTGGAAAAAAAGAGAAAGAAATGGTTGGATAGGCCAACAGGTGAAAGGTTGGAAATCTAATCAAATGCCCAGACTCACAGACATTCCATACTCCTAACTCTAAGGGGTTCTTGTATTCCTCCCAGATTCACTGTTTTTCAAAAAATATCTGTGATTGGCATGGAGTGAGCAGAGTTGAGTGACTACACTATCAGATCAGGAAGACATTAGAAAAGAAGTGCTAAAAATGAGTGCCAGAGGCTTTGGATATCACCACAGAAAATATTTTGTACTAAAACAGAGTAAACACTGCATGAAAGATCAGTAGCAAAGATGGTGGTAGCCACATTAAGAACATGGTTGAGGAAAGTGGAAGAGAAAAGCTGACAGGCCAAGGGAAGAAGAAACTTCAGACACTACTAGATTTTCTACTTTGGGAGTAAGAGACTTCTACGCCTACTATTTAAGGTCGTATTGCTCTTACCATCTCTCTGCTCTCCTCCTTAGCAATTAGGGAATTTGAAATATTTCTTGGCACTGGAAGCAGCCACAGGGGGAGGGTCAAAGGTGGCCAGACCTACATGCATCAAAGGGTGAGGAAATTGGGAGACAAAATGGGCCGTGACTCTAAGTCCTCAGCTTCCAAGTAGCCTTCAGGACACTTCCCAGAAATAGGTTGCAGTTAGTATGCAAATAACAGGTGCTTTTACTTCATAGATTCACACTTCCTAGTCTTAACTTGGTCCTCCGTTGCAGGAACAGTATCTGCTCTAGAGAATGGCCTCGCTAGACCAGTTCTCCATTCAAATGCTTGGTACTACTGCTACATCCATTGACTAGAAGACCCTACTTAACTTGTTTCTCTGACTCTCTTTGTATCACAGAGTTCTTGTTCTGATCTCTTTTTCAGGCTTCACCCATTTCTCTCCTTCTGGCCTCTAATGGCAAAGTCCTGGTCCTATTTTGTTACTAGCACATGGCTCCTGGAAGGGTTGCCATCATAAGTCCTTACTCACTTTGACAAAGATGAGCTTAAAAATCTCATTTTCACCCTGGTTGGTGTGGTTCAGTGGACTAAGCCCCGGCCAGCAAACTAAAGGGTCGCCAGTTTGATTCCCAGTGTAGGGCCCATGCCTGGGGTGCGGGCCAGGTCCCCAATAGTGGGGTGCACAAGAGGCAACCACACACTGATGTTTCTCTCCCTGTCTTCCTTCCTTCCCCCTCTAAGAATAAATAAATAAAATCTATGAACAAAAACCTCATTTTCATCTTTATAAAGTCCAAGTGCTTTGCAAACCACAGACTTCTCTTTGACAGAGGTAGCCAGCACATGCTGTCTCTGAATCCAGATGGTGTTGTAGAGCCCAGAGCTACCACTTCTACAAACTGCTGTGCCAAAGAGGTATCGTCCTGTCAATGGATGCAGTACCATAAAAACAGAGCAATTCAAAGACCCAGCCCAGGAGCTTCCTCAGCATTTTTTTATGCCCCATAAAATGCATTACTAGTTAAGTCTATTTTAGCCTCGATAGGGATGGTTTTCACGGCACATTATAACCTAGTTGAAGGAGCAATAAGCATCATCAACTTACATAATAAACACCAACAATTTGCCAGGTACTACTACAGATTCCGGAGATATACAAAGAAAAAGAAATCCATGCCCTCAAGGAACTTCTGAATTCTAGAAGGTCTATTTCGAATTTGAGCATGACAGCTGATACCAACATTGACAAGATTATCATTGAAATTAACATACCATTGAATTGCCAGCATGGCACAACATTATGTTAATTCCAAGAATAGTACTGAATCCTCTTGGTGGCGTTAGTAGATATGGGAAGTCCCCAGGAAAGATGAGGTCCTTTTGGAGCGTGATCCTGAGAGATTCAAACGCTACCATGGCTCTCAGATATACCGAGAAAGGACGGAAGCAGGAGAGAGGATTCTGTATAGTCCGTTTCATGTCAAATAACTGATAGGTAAGCTAGTCTGGAAAAGCCTTCTGCTGTGACCTTGGGTCTGGGGACAATATATGAAATGGTCAAGCACGCTCGAGAAGTTAGTTCTCATGAGGGTATTCTCATTAACTGACATATGATAAAGCATCACTCAAGGAGACTTACCATCTGCTCCTTCACTGCTTTTGCTTCTTTTATTGCGACGAACACGCCTACTTTCTGCTTCAGAGTATGACTTTTCTTCAGGGAAGAAAAAATTGAGAAGGGCCATCTGCAAAAATAACAAGTAGATGAATAAAAGGTTGACCCCAGTCACCCACAAGTGACATTAAAAAAAAAAACAAAAACAAACAACTAGTTTTCTATAGACAGTCTTCCTTCATCTTAAATTCTGTATGTCTGAACCCTGAGCCTATCTCCCCTTCCACAGTACAAATCCTTTATTTTTGTTACCATTATTATTCCAGATATGAAATTTGGCTGAGGTCTGATCCCCTATCTTCTGCCCTGAATATAGAATGGCTAATCCTTCGAGTCCCATTTCTCCCTGTAGTTGTGGGATTCAGCGAAACCGGCCATGGATTCCTAACTTCCCTCATGTGCTGCCCCAAATTAGACTTGCCTTTGCAACTCCCTCTTGGACTTATTATATATCCATGATTTTTCCACATTCCTTTTTGTACTAAACTTTTGGCTTGTTCTAAGAATGCTGTGCATCTAATTATGACCGGAAGATGCCATTAATGTCAATGCTCTTCTGGTAGTTAAAAATGACAAAAGGATGCTTATTCTCTCGCTTTCAACTCTTACAGAACTTCTACAGCATTTGGGTGTATAAGACCCATTTTGGTACTTGATCTTCTAGCAAGGGTGTCCAACCTACATCCTGGGGAGCACATGCAGCCCAGGATGGCTGTGAATAAGTCCCAACACAAAATCCTAAATTTACTTAAAACATTATGAGACTTTGCCCTTGCTGGTGTGGCTCAGTGGATTAAATGCCGGGTGGATACCAAAGGGTTGCTGGTTCAATTCCCAGTCAGAGCACATGCTTGGGTTACTTGCCAGGTCCCCTGGTTGGGGGTATGATGTATCTCTCACACAATGTTTCTGTCTTTCTTCTTCCCTTCTCCTGTCTCTAAAAGTTAAATAAAATCTTTTTAAAAATATGAGATTATTTTGTGATTGCGTGTTGCAATGCATTGAATGTGTGGCCTAAGACAACTCTTCTTCCAGAGTGGCCCAGAGATGCCAAAAGGTTGGACACCCCTGCATGAGTCTGTTTTATGATGATCTCTCATTATAGTACAATATGTTTCATATGTGAATGGGCTTGGATCCACTAATGATAATCACTGCTTAAATATGTAGTACCTGAAATGAATCATAATCTTTCACCATGAGTGCCTCTTTGTAGTTAAAAACTATGCTTGAGGTAAACAGTGGACACAGCAGTAGAAATGACAGTGATTTTAACCCAACTTTGCCATTATAGCTGTGTAATCTTGGGAAAGTTACTTGAGCTTCGATTTTGTCCTCTGTAAATAGGGAAACTAAACATTACTTTGCTCAAAAAGTAGTTAAAGGGTTAGCACAGTACTCAGCATGTAATATGCACTCAATAAATGTTACTTATTACAATTATTAAAATCAATCTTCAAAACATACTTGTTAGATGCCTTGGGGGTTAAAAAAGAAGATTAATCTACATTTTCATCCTAGTATTAATGTGGAAAAATAAACAATTCCAGAATCCTCATGTCTCTTGTATCTCTCATCACTTGAAACAAAAATTCTATACAGACTTTCTACAAAACCCTGTGATTTACTGTTTACATAGAACAATTATACCCAACAGCCTTAATGTAGCAGATTAGCATGTCACAGAAAATATTCATGTGTGAAATACAAAGTTAAGAAATGAACGTTTAGGTAATCTTCAACTTGTAACGTGATTAATTTAAAAAAATTGAGGTTGAACCAAATGAAACTGTCATTTTTTTATGTCAAAAATGGTTGAATAACAGCAATTTCACATGGTTGAACTGAGCAGTATTTTTGCGTCAATTGATTGGAACGTAAAATGCATTTTCTCATATAATCAACATAATCAAGTATGACTAGGTTTCCAAATAAAGCCTATAGAAAATTACTTAACCCAAACATAGTAAGTTATTTTACTATTACTAATAATATAAATCCGAACTGCTATTTACAACAAAATCTCAATCACTTCCAACTCCAAAAGGAGAAGTCATGTTGGACAGAAGAGTTTTCGTGACAACTGAGAGTGCTGAAATTTACTTCAGAGATTTTGGATAGAAATTAATCTAGAATATATGATCTTAACTCATGGCTTACTGGATAAGTAGGAGGCAATTTTGGACAACAAATGGTCCTAGTCCAGTATGGTTTTGAGGTTATAAACAAAAATTGTAATTACATTAAAAAGCAATAAATGTTTTGTTAGAGAGAAACAGAAGGGTCTCTGAAAGTGTAAAAGGACCAAACACACACTGAAAGTGGACAAGGTTTCTCAGAAGTGCTACCTCTGGGAGTCCTAAGGGAAGTCGTTGATTTATTGACAAACGGGAAACTAAAACAGAATTCTGAATAAAAGGAGCAATGTGTGTAAAGGTTCAGAAGAAAGAGAGAGAACAGCAATTTTTGGAAATACAATTATGGTAGTGAGTGGGGGAGGAATGTTAGGGTGAGTGATAGCGTTAGAGTTAGACATTAAATAAGGGCTAGATTATGTTAAGAAGCGTAGACTTTATACGGCAGCAGGGGGATATATCCTGTGAAAGACTGTTCCCCTTTGTTAATTTTCGTACTTTGTGAAAATTGATGTTGTAATCTACAGTCAATAAAATGCACACATTTTAAGCATCAAATTTGAAGAGTTTTGAAAAATGTACATACGTTTGTAACCACCACCCGAATAAAGACATAGAACATCTACATCGCTGCAGCATTTTTTCTTGTGCATCTTCCGGTCATTTGTCAGTGCAAAACCCCCCCACCCCAGGAAACCACTGTCCTGCTTTCTATCACCATAGCTTAGTTTGCCCTATTCTAGAATTTCACATAGATGGAACCATACCATATGACTGTATGGCTTTTGTGCGTTGTCGCTTTTATTCAACATGATCTCTGGGAGACTCACCCATCTTGTTGTGGGTATCAGTAGCTGATTCCTTTTTATTGCTGAATGGTATTTTATGGGAGGGATAGACCATGCCTTTAAAAAGTCCTGCTGAAAGAGATCTGGGTTATTTCCACTTTAGGGCTATTATGAAAAAAGCTGATATGAGCGCTAAGGCACAAGTCTTCCTGGGGACATGTGTTTTCATTTTCCCTGGATAAACACCAAGGAGCGGAACCTCTTGGTTAAAGAGTAAGTCTTTGATGTGAGGCACTGACAAACTGTTTTCCAGCGGGCCTGGGCTGTTTCCCACTAGCAATGTATGAGCACCCCCGTACTCTGCATTTCCATTGCACTGATATCATCAATATTTCTGTGGATGTAAAATAGTGTCTCATTGTTGTTTCTTTTTGAAATCTCAACCTTCTTTTCAATGCTTTTCCTGGCCTCTTACCTTACTGTCAACTACCAGATTTCACTTTACCTACCTGTAACATCTTTTCTCGTCTCTTCCAGTTTGCTACTTCTAATGTTATAGGGTTGTCACCTCATGAAAACGAGCTAGAATAATGTACCAACAGGATAAAAAGGCAGTCAATGAGTTTTTGAATGGCTTCTCCAATAAATAAGATGCACATTCCTGGCAGCTTAGAGAACATTTGTTTCTTGCTCGACTCCTGGCTGCCGTCTGGAGAGCGAATTGGTCAGGTAACTGAGTTTTCCATGGGTGTGTTCTTCCAGGATATCGCCATTTCTAGGGGAAAGGAGTTTTGAAGTCCCAATGAAGAACCGCCCCTAACATTACAACTACAAATTCCGAATTCCCTTTATACTCTTTGTGTTCCCTCATAGGCTTATCTACTCTGGGAGTTCTGGCAGGGTCTCCAGTCCTGACCTTGTAGGAGGAAACCCTGCATATATATTAATTGTCCCAAAGGGTTGGATGAGAGCTTCTGAGAGCTCAAGATCCTGGGGCGGGGGAGGAGGGGTGGCTGCAGGACACACAAACTCCTGCAGATAGCAGAAACAGGGCCACTTTCCCTGGCTAGTAGAAGTAACTTCAAGTCCCTTAAGAGAGGCAATTGATGAGCAAGGGAGATTCATAAATCAAGCATTAATTAAAAGGGGACCGACTGCCTGTGTATGAAAATGCTTTCAATATAGTTTCCATTTTCTCAATAAAAATGGGAAGAAAACAACATAAAACACTGCTTAAACTGAAAAAGGACCCTTATTCACAGTGCCCTTACTTGAGTCTCAATTAGATGAAGGAGGGGAAACTAGCGTTTGTGCAGTATAATGGGAAGGAGAAAAATCAGTGGATGTTCATGCAAAAAGTTTAGCTTGAGTTTGGCATTCCTTAGTAAGGCCTTCAGAGGCAAAGTTGCAGAATATGAACAGAACAGCTTTCTCTCTTCAAATGTTGCTTTCCCATTGCTCAAGGAGGGGAGGCATCAGAAATGTTGGCCACAGCTAGGCATGTTGCTCAAGTGAGAAAAAAAATCTTTACAGTTTATCAACTGATTACACCCTTGTTTCCTATGGTAAGATTACATGGTAAATAGCACCTGCAGCTTACAGGCATCTCGGCAGGAAACAGTGTGGTAACAGGCAGCAAGGAGGGACGCACCGCATAGAGCCAGTGACTTTCCAGATGCTGTTACAAACATTTTTTTCCTAATTAATATTTCAACCCATAAAATTATTAGGATATTTTTTCTTTTCAACATGACTTAGAGTAAGTTTACTTCATTTTCTATTTCATGGTTAATGCATTTGATAGTATTAGATACACATTTTATCTGTTTTGGTATACCTAGTGCCTAGCTCCATAGTAAGCCCCTGATAAATAGCTATCAGTCGAAAGAATTATAGGGCTATCAGTAATCCATTCCTTAAAGGCAGGATTTCATTTGACCGTAATTGCGCCTCATTTCTAAGGATCAGCCACGGGCAGGTTGACCAAGAGCTCAATACACTACTGTCCGTAATCAAATCGAAGGGATCTTAAGAATGAGATTGCAGGTCAGGAGCTCTCCAATGTCAGTGTGCACGAGGATGACTAGGCATGAGTGTTCAAATGTGGAATCCTGAGCCTTCCGCTCCCCCAAATTAAGATTGAGTAT